TCCTACTGAAGGACTTGAAGACGGACGTGTCTTTACGTTGCATATCCGTGTTCCAGTCTCCAATAATAATTGTCTCTACATCCCCCACATCAGCCAAACACCCATCTAATGTATCATAAAAGTCACTCTGTTCCGGTGGTCTATAGATTGTCCCGACTATTACAGATTTAGCATTGTCAAAAAGAATTTCAACCCACACAGATTCAATATTTTCATGATGCAGGTCAGTTCGGTTTTTGAAATTGGCGTCTTTATGTATGTACATGCAGACACCACCTCCATTCACGTTCCTGTCCCTTCTCACTACAAGATAATCTTCAATTTCAATCTCTGAATCTGTAATGGAATTGTCCAATTTGGTCTCAGAAAAGCATAATATGCTTGCCTTACCGTTCATGAATAGCTGCCTGAGTTCAGCCAGTTTGTGTCTCAGGCTGTTAGTGTTCAGATGAAAAATATGTAGTCCATTTTTGTTGCTTAAATGCACAATGTCGTCAGCTTGCAGATATTTGTCTTTGTCCGTTACAGCAACCGGCTTGTCGTGGTGGGTTGGTGGTGGTGGTGGTGGTGGTGGTGGTGGTGGTGGTGGTGGTGGTGGTGGGGGGAGGGAGGGAGGCTCCTTTGTAGCTTTAGCCGTTGATATGCTAGCAGGGTGGCTAACAACATGGCTAACAACATGGCGGATATTTGTTCCCTCGGATCTCGGTTCTCTTCCTCTCGTCACTGCCTCATGCGTGTCTGTCTGCCGAGGCGTCCCCGGGGGAATCTCGAAGTCTCCGTTTATTCCTTGGTCTCCGCTGTCTCCACGGTCTCTGTTGTCGTCGCGTAGTTGTTGTTGCGTCGTACGAGGGCGGACTTTGCTGGACTTGATTGATTGATTGAAAAGTTTATTAACAGCTTGTATATTGGGTACAGTACAGTACAGCTCAAAACATACAATTGTTAAGGGGATGCAGACCAGAGAAAGACTTTCGTCTTGTTTACATCAGGGTCCCCCATTTCCAATTCATCATATAACCAGGTAACCCGGGGTCGATGAAACCTACAATTTGTGGGCAGCACTTTGAAAGATCGTGTTTCGACCAGTCCACAATGCTCGCTAAGGAAATTGGATTAAAAAAGAATTTCAAACTGAACAAAGATGCTGTTCCAACAATACTGCCAAGACCCCAAATGCCAGCACAAGCCACCACGCCGATTCCTACATGTCCCCCGATGCAGAGTCCTCCACTAAAGAGACGGCGAAATGCATTCTCCAAAAGGGAGAGAGCGAAGGTAAGCCGCGCTACTTGTTGTTCAATGTTTACAAGCATAAAGCCTGACTCAAAATGACATGTAAAAAAAAAGTTTCTGACTTGGCTCGTTGTCAGCCGGTGACCAGCTGCCCAGACATTTCGCGGGGGAAAATGATGAAAACGGGGCTTCGGGTGCCGTGGGAAGAACCTCCGTGTATTCACGTTCTTCACAGTAATCAGTTACATTGACACTGTATTGCATAGGCCTACAGACCAGCGCCATATAGATAGAATACAGACTACGGAGCTATTGATTGGTTGTCAATCTTATGTTTTTGAAAGTAGGCTAATACATTAACTGAAGGGGCTGGGCCGGGAGAGAGCGAGGCCCGCGTCAGAGGTCCACCCAAAACCGTCATGAAAAAGTTTAGCATTCTAATGCATCTAACTTTATGCACAATATAATAGTCTGGCCAGCCCTGCAGCCCGTTCTAGGTTCTGATTGGCTCTCTAGGTTGGCATTCTAGCTTCTGACTGGCTGTCCAGGTTGTCAATCACAGCCGTGGGCATATTATATTTACGACTAGTAATTCTCTATGAATTAAAGTCAAATGTATATAGCCTACCAGTCTGTGTTTTGTTGCCCCTGTCAGTACCAGATATGTTCGGGCTACCAGATATGTTCGGGTGTATTTCCGTCGCATCCGTCTTCCGTCATATCCGTCATACTCACCTCCCTCTGCTCCCAGCGCTCTGCTGCCACACACCGGCCGTCTGCGGAACTGCAGCCGGAAGAACTCGGGACAGCTTGTTATGTGTGGGGTGCTATGGTGGGGTCCCATGTACTTGTGCACATAAATAATGTTTATAATTATTTACAATTAAAAAATATATATATTCTGCGTTACTTTAGCCAACACTTTTATAAGGCCACTAGATTAGATAATTACGAAATGTGTAGATAGAATACATATATTTCAGGTTGTTGTTTTGTCATTATGTTTAATGTTTTATTTACCTTTTAGTATTTTTATATAGTATCTGAACTTTGGAAAGGAGTTGGGAGACACACGACACATCAAATCACATCTACAGATCAAGGCGAAGCGAATGGATGTACTCCCATACTCCTAGCGTGAAAATGTTTGTGAAAACGTGTGCAAAGTCTCCGAAAATCCTAAAAATAAGCTCATATTTGAATTCCCCATAAAAAAACACATCATTCATTAAAAACAAGGCCCCACTGATCATCTACTCTCTGAGACGATTCCAGGGATGTCTGGCTTGAGTTTCGGCCACCAGGGAAAGTGGACAAAAGTGCCCGAGATCAGCCTCTTAATTTACCCAGGGCCTAGTGCTTGGTTTTGGGCATGGAAATTCAGGAAACTCCCCTGAGTATTTTATTAAATATCTGAACTTTGGAGAGGAGTTGGGGGACACACGACACATCAAATTACATCTACAGATCAAGACGAAGCTATTGGAAGTACTCCTAGCGTGTGAAAATGTTTGTGAAAAACATGTGCAAAGTCTCCGAAAACGGAGCAGTGGCTGTGATGCTAGCTTTGCGGCTAGCGGTTAGTTGTTATTGTTTGAAGTTGTTGCTATGGAAACAACATGACGGAGAAAAAATTAATATCTTCTACATATAATAACGGACAAAGTAAAGAATGAAGTGTAGGCTATGCCTGTTTGAAGTTGTTGCTAAGGAAACAACATGACGGAGAAAAAGTATAATCTTCTACATATAATAACGGACAAAGTAAAGAATGAAGTGTCGGCTATGTTTAAATGTTCGGAATTTGACCGTGGTGGCCCTCTTGAGTTGCCGTAAAATATGACGAATATGACGGAAGACGGATGCGACGGAAATACACCCGAACATATCTGGTAGCCCGAACATATCTGGTACTGACACCGGGGCTGCTTCTCAGGTCGATTAAATGAAATCCTTGCTTCCCTCACTTGCGTCGTTTCCCTGCGTTTAGTCCCTCCCACCAGGGAAGCATGGAGGGACGCAAGGAAACCACGAGAAGCAGGGAAATGAGTTTTAAGAGCAATGGGACGTCCTTTCCTCCGGAGCGTCACGTGAAGCGACGTCCGTTTGTGATGACGCTGCACAGCTGATCGTCTGACAGCAGCCAGCTCTGTCCCCGTTATTTCCACACACACCCGCCTCTGTTAGTACACATTTACTGACACAAATATTTGTATCATCTGTTGTAGATCCCAATAAATAAAATAAAATAAGAACTCATTCTCAAAAAAGATAAACGCCATTCTTAAAATGTATAAACGAACAATAGTTTGATTAATATTGATTAGAGTGCACAAAAGAAATAAAATAATTGAGAGAAGAAAAAGAGATATGTTATCTATCAAAACCCAGTTAGATTAACATTGATTGGATTGCACACTTTGTTTGTTTGTTTGTGTGGATATGGAGCACATTAACATTTTAATAGCACTTAATGACTGACTGAATGGAAATGACAATAAATGAAAATGTAAAACGAAAAAAGCGATCATGAAAATGTTTCCAAAAAATGAATAAAATGATTTTTGACCACTTTGTTGTTCAGATATATCACATATTTGTAACTAAATGAAACAGGAATTGAAACAAAACACGGTATAAACTGAGGAGTGAGTCCCGTGAGGTTCATGTATTTTCTTCACTCCGCTGGGAAACGGCTCTCATGTCAAGAAGCATGAGATCAGTGCATGCACTGCATCGTCCAATCAGTGAGCGATACACAGTAAGGGGGCGGGGCGAGTATCTGAGGATTTCATCGGAGGATGGTCTGGTGGTTCCTCGGTTATCGCTCCTCCATGATCGCTCCTCGCTCCTCGATCCTCGGTCCTCCGGCAGAAATAAGAGCCATGGGACGGTACTCAAGATGGCGCAGTTAAATCAACTTCCGGTGAGACCGAGGAGCGAGGAAATGAAAATAGTCGACCTGAGAAGCAGCCCGGATCTCCGCCAAATCCAGGATCATCGTCCCCATTTTCGCTCCCGTCTGTATCTCTACCGCTACTTGAATACTGTGGCTCAAACTGGTATGGTTCCACCACGTTAGACTCCACACCGGCATCCTCTTCAATAAAATCCTCCTCTTCTTGAAAGTGCACCGAGTCTATTGACGACTCACTGTCACTCGATTCTGTCGAAATATCCGAGCCAGAGTCCGACATCAGCCATATAGTAAGTGTATTATTCAAAAAGGGTTCTACTCGTGACGTAACTAACCGGCGAAAGCCGTTTGGTCCGGAGCGGTCGTGTAACATCGGAAGCGAGCATGGAAAGTTGTAATAAATCACGATTTATAAATACAGCGGGCATATTGTCATCAATGACAAATGATTTCCCATTAATAATAGTATTTATTATCCTAATAAGAATAGTGTTGTCCTTCATTTCGTAAGCTCTTTAAAGAGCAAAACTGAAAATAATAAATACATACACAAATACAGGAACTAAACAATAAACGTCTGTTTTTCTAGAAACGTTTTTAAAAATATATATATTATTGATTGTATGTATGTGCTTTCAGCCCTGCTGGCAAGTCATTGGAGAACCGTTGCTCTCGTGTGTCTATCTCCGGAAATACGTACTTTTGTCTTCAAAATAAACAGATTTGTTCAACATGTTCTGGATTATAAGAAAAAAATTCAAATGGACTTGTTCTTGTAATTTCAAACATGCTTTGTTTTACTTTTGTTTGGAATATTGCTTTTCTTGTCAACTCATTTATTTTGAATGATCAAGACCGGAAGTTATGTTTGATGATGCCGCATGCGCGAGGGAAATAGAGTTGCTAGCGCGAGTGTAAATAACGAAGCAAAGTATATAAAGTTAAGAAGTAGCTTTATTTCGTATTTAAGTTGTCTTTTGTAGCATTAGCAAGCTTCTAGGCGTTTAACCTAGCTAACTGAGGTTGCATTAGCAAGCTGTGTCTCTTAACAATCACATTAATTTAAATGTATTTAACGTTAGCCAGCTAGCCACGCATAGCTTAATTCGTTGGCAACTCCAAACAACGTCGACGTTTTGAGATAATTCGTACTTTAAAGTAAACACTTCATTTGAAAGTTCTTCTCTCGTATCTTTGAGATGTATTCTTTTTCGTTCTAACTTAGTGTCGTAAACAGCTGTTGGGAATGTTGCCTCGCTTGAGTCATGAAGGGACAACAAACGATTCAGAGGACGAAGAAGAGGTGCGTTCATATTTACTATTGCTTTTCATTATTGTTTTTTGGGGCAGACAACAAATGTAGCGCTGTATGTATGTTTAAGCTGCAACATTGACACTGCATACTCTCACAGCCCGAGCGTCCTCTCAGTGAATTCTACCCATATATCCGCTGTGCCCTGTGCAGTTACTTCCTCATCGATGCCACCACCATCATAGAGTGCCTGCACACATGTGAGTGACAACAAGTTATACCAGAGGTCTGCTTTAGTTTCTGTAGTCCTCAAAATACTTTGAGAGGATGCAGGAGATCCACAAGAACTGTGATGTTAATTTAATACATTATGTCCCTAACTTACTGTATCGCAATAATGAGGGTTTCTCTATTTGGGATGCAGATATTCACATAGGAAACAATGGAACTATGTTCATTAGCGATGCAAGTAACCTTTCAGGATGCTTATACCAATATGTCCTTCCTAGATTGATGGTCCTATAACATGCATATCAGATTTAACAACACAATACACAAGAAGAGAGCAGTTTAACCATTATGTGTTTAGCGGATACAGGTTATAGCTGATCTTAATATAGACAACATGTATCAGAAATGTCATTACAGAAACGCAAAACACATGTTATATTGGAGGAAACCGTTTCTCTATAGTTTGTGTATCAATATTCTTTGAAAACATCATTTTTAAACCACTCGGTTCACTGAATGTCTCAGTTATTTAACAACTTGAACACCTTGAATTTAAAAGATGACTATCTTCAAAATCAAAGATTATAGTTCTGAGGTCTCAAAGATTGATATGTATATCAGCTTTAAAAGTCCATATTAATCTCTCTTTGCCATCTACTGTCCTGACTTTATTTTGATGTGTTTATCTTCTCCAAGTTTGCAAAAGCTGCATCGTGAAGCACTTCTTCTACAACAACAGGTGTCCAACATGCAGCACTGTAGTCCACCAGACACAACCGACGTACAACATCAGGTAGGTCTGTCAATATGTGATGCATTAGTTCAATTGTGTTACCTTTTGTACCAAAAATAATGATATCTCTGTCAACCATATGTTTTACAGTTTCAATGATTATAGGATTATGGTACAGATTTAATTTCAGAAATGTGGTTGCATTTATTTCCAAGTAAGAACAGTTATTTATTTTTTATTGAACACTTTTTCTGCAGACCTGACAGACAACTGCAGGATATTGTTTACAAAATGGTTCCCTTCCTGGAGGAGTGTAAGTACAGTACATACAGTCACAATCATTTTGATGGTCTTCATGTACTCTATCTCTTTGAACTCTTATTCCACAGCCGAAAGAAAACAAATGTGTCAATTCTACAAGGAGAGAGGGCTGGATGTGCCAAACACAGGTAATTCTTTAAACTTAAACGTTTAAAATCAGAAGGCTTGGTGCAACGTTAGATAAAAAGCTTGTGATTTTCTGTAATCTAATGTTCTGGACTTTACTTTTGCTTCTGTGAATAGCTTTTTGAAGTATTAAGTTAATCTAATTACGTTGTTCATTTAAGCAGACATGGGTTTTAAACATGGGTTTGTCAACAGCATCAAAAACATGAAAGTTTGTCACACAATCCATTACCTTGTGTTTTGCCTCTCCTGCTTTTCAGTTGTAATCTCGCCTCCAGGTCCTGTTGTCATAAAGAGGCAGAAGAAAGAGAACATTCCCCCGTCTGTGTTCACCATCCCTCCTGAGCTGGATGTATCTCTGCTGCTGGAGTTTGTTGGGTAAGGATCTATACAGCTATGCTGGACATAATTTTGTCACAACAGCTGTATTACCTATTAAAAAGTAATTAACCTAGTAGACATTCTGCTAGATATTATTGTATGCCTCAGAACAAAGACAATCTACTAAACTACAGTACCAGTCAAAAGTTTGGACACACCTTCTCATTCAGTGGTTTTTGTTTATTTTTTTATTTTTTTCTACTTTGTAGATTAATACTGAAGACATCAAAACTATGAAAGAACACATGGAATTATCTAGTTAACAAAAAAGTGTTACAAAATCCAGAATATGATTTATATTTTAGATTCTTCAAAGTAGCCCCCTTTTGCCTTGATGACAGCTTTGCACACACTTGGCTTCTCTCAGTCAGCTTCATGAGGTCGTGACCTGGAATGGTTTTCAATTAACACGTGTGCCTTGTCAAGAGTCAATTTGTGGAATTACTTCTGAATGTGTTTGAGACCATCAGTTGTGTTGTGCAGTGGTAGGGTTAGTGCACAGTGGAAAGCTCTATTTGACTACTGCTGTAATCCATAATATGGCAAGAACCACTCAACTCAGTAAAGAGAAACGACCGTCCATCATCACTTTAAGAAATGAAGGCCAGTCGATCCGGAAAATGTCAAGAACTTTGAAAGTATCCTCAAGTGCAGTCGCAAAAACCATCGAACGCTATGATGAAACTGGCTCTCATGAGGACCCCCCCCGGGAAAGGAAGAGCAAGAGTTACCTCTGCTGCAGAGGATAAATACATCAGAGTTACCAGCCTCAGAAACCGCAAATTAAAAGCACCTCAGATTAGAGCCCACATCAATGATCACAGAGCTCAAGTAGCAGACAATCTCAACATCCACTGTTCAGAGGAGACTGCGTGAATCAGGCCTTCGTGGTCGATTGATGCAAAGATCCACTACTGAGGATGAACAACAAGAAGAAGATAATTGTTTGGGCCAAGAAACACAAGGATTGGACATTAGACAGTGGAAATCTGTACTTTGATCTGATGAGTCCAAATTTAAGATTTTCGGTTCCAACCACCGTGTCTTTGTGAGATGCCGAGAAGGTGAGCGGAAGGTTTCTGCATGTGTGGTTCCCACCGTGAAGCCTGGAGGAGGAAGTGTGATGGTGTGGGGGGGCTTTGCTAGTGACACTGTTGGTGATGTATTCAGAATTCAAGGCACACTTAACCAGTATGGCTACCACAGCATTCTGCAGTAGCCAGCTAAATATAAATCATATTCTGGATTTTTTAAAACACTTTTTTGTTTACTAGATAATTCCATATGCGTTCTTTTATAGTTGTAATGTCTTCAGTATAACTACAATGTAGAAACATTTGAAAATAAATAAAAAAACTTTGAATGAGAAACTTTTGACTGGTAGTGTATGTTTAAAGGTCCCATGACATGGCCATTTCTACTGATCAGAATTCCATTGTTGAGGTCTACTAGAATATATTTACATTGTTCAATTTTCCAAAATCACATTGGTTTTCTCATACAGCATCTCTGTATAGTATGTGTATTCACTCTCTGTCCTACACGCCTTGTTGGAGCTCCTGCCCCCCCTCCCTATGAGCCCAGTGTGCTCTGATTGATCAGCTCGCCCACTCTGTTCTGATGAGTCCACCATTGTTGCAGCGGAACATCAGTGATTATGTTTTACAATGGCGTTAGCAACCAGAAAATGACACCAGTAATGACAAACAGTTGGTGGGACGTTGCGGGGGCTCGCTGCTGCGGACAGTGTGAGCTGGATCGCTGTCTCAGGCTGAGAAATCCGCAGAGCCGCAGCTGAGAAAAGACAAGGCTGAGTGAGTGAGTGTGTGTGTGTGAGGAGTACCACGGATTGGTTTATTTGGACCTGCGTATGGTCACGTCACTATACTCGAGAAGAAAAAAATGGAAAAAGAAACCGGTCTTTTCTGTGTTAGAGCTTTACTCGCTACAAGGTGTACTTTGAGGGTTTGTGACTCTGCAGACCGTTTACATGCAGAAAAAGCTACATAACACACGGGATGGGTAATAACCGGAAAAGCATGACATGGGACCTTTAACATATTTTCATTCTTCATGTCGTTGTTGAGGAACATATTTTCCTAGGCCTCTGCCTTTTACCCAGTTTATCACTCTACTCCTATATTCAGCGTTCAGGAACGTGGCCTCAAGGTGCTACTGTCTCCCGTCATCAGCATTCGGGCATGCGACTTTGGTTGCCACTTTCTCTCTTCCCTTGAGAATAGTTTTGTCTAGAACTAGATAAATACTTGGGTTTTGGGAGAAATCTTCAGAATTGGTCTGGCAGGAGCTGGGTCACTTTGTTGCTGCAGCAAATGTCTTTTGTCCATTCTCTGGCCGTAACTTCCAATACATTCTTCATTGCTGCCATCAAGTGGAGCTCTCCCGTGTTCTCATTGGGTTTCAACACTGTGCTCCAGAACTTTCCTTTGCAGTCGTTAGTGAGATGTCTTTATTGGTTAATTAGCCACACCTGGTGTGAGGTTGATGGGAAAGGGCTTAGCCTCTGGGAAATTCATACAGAGTCAAGTGGAAGAACATGTGTCCTTTGCAACATTGTGTTGACATGCCAAAAACAATGTGTTCTGCAAACAGGGTCTATTTTTGTTGTCTGTTTCCTAGTAACAGTGTTTTTACAAGCGTAACCAAGAGGCATTTTCACAGCAGACTTTTTACATCATAAAAAAGCACAGTTGGTACTAATAATACAACAATGGCACTGCTTTCTGTAAGCCGTGCCAACAAGCCAGCATGCACAATACCAGTGAAGAATCCTGCAATTCTCAGGTCTAAATGGTATGCGGCCATTATTGGGTTTTGGTATAATCACATTTGAACTGATTCACTACTGGTCCTGTTTTTTAAAATATTTTCTTCCTTTCTCTATTTAAAAACAAGCATGTCATTTCAGTTGAAAAAAATAGTCAATCATTTTTAATGTTACCATTGTTATTTATTTAGAACATATTTTAATGTATTCATTTAATGCTTTTGACCTGTAGACACAAATAAATACTTCTTGTTTGAAAAAGGTACAACACAGTCTGTAGAAGGCCCAATCCCAAACCGCTCCCTACAACCTACCCCTACACACTACCCCTCCGTTCGCGCGGAGGGTCCGCCACATTAAGTGCTTTTCCAAACCAACGAGTGTGGTGCGGTGTGGAGGGGGAGTGGGTTATCAAGCCATCAAACATCGGTGCTGACTGGAGACCGGTCTCTACCCGACGCTGTGTCGCCGTCAGGAAACACGCTGTTTACAAGTAGTTCCAGCAAACATCCACTGATAAACTGCGATGTTAACAACCTCATGATAACCTCATATTTGTTTACTTAGGATCATACATGTGTTTAGTCTAGAAATACAATTAAAGATGTTTTATTTGAGTTATTAATTTTTATTTTTTGTCTAAGACATTAGTTCCCAACCTGGGGGGCGCCAAAGATCGCAGAGGGGGACGCCAGGCCTAAGATGATTTGAGGCCAAATATCATATTTAGACAATTTTTTTTATTTTTTTTTTACATATAATCGTAACGCAATACATGATTGCCACTAAAAGCCTTGTCTCTACATTACAATAAAATATAAAAAATAATTGATTAATTAATTAGAATACAAATTCAAGTTAGTAGCTAATAAAGGCATACAAAGACAGAAATGTATAATTCTTTTTTTAATAGAAATGTTTCTTCTGCCCGTAAAGTCTCCAAACCAGGCTTTTCTGGATAAGCACATTTTTAAAACATAGTCATTGTCCATGCCGGTTTCAGTTGGATTATTTGTCACTGTTGCTCCGATCAGGAAAAAAAGGTTGGGAACCACTGGTCTAAGAGATGCTGATTTGAAATCGTTGTTACATACAGTTACGGCATTTCCTGTTTCTGCCGGAGAGAGGGGAGTTTGTCCTAAAGGGTATGGCGTGGTTTGGGATTGGGCCGTAGTGAATGAAATATCCTGTACATGTAGTAACACAGACATCCCACAAGAGGAACCGTTCTCTTGAATTGACTGCTTGTTGTTTTTTTTTACCATAAAGTTGTCCTTACTAACTATAACTTCTGTTTTGTTTTCAGGGCTGAAGAGGGCATCGCTAATTACAAGGTAACACCCCCGCTTACTATTTGTAGCACTTCTTATTGTATTATAATAGCTTGTTTACCAGAAAGATATGTAAATAATTAGTACATTTCACCCTGTCCCTGTTTAGCCGTTAGAGAGGCGGTACGTCCGTGTGTCCGGGGAGGCCACTGTGCGCCACGTGGAGATCTTCATCAGGAGGATGATGGAGCTGAGCTCAGCATGCCAGGTGAGTGTGCCAGGCTTACAGCTAATGAGTTCTCCAAGTGACACACCCACACTGATCCTGATAGTTGACAGTTTGGGACAGACTTAGAAGCGGGACAGTAAGGCAGTTGGCATTACAGCATAGTGTAGGCGTGTACAGGGTCATGTGGTGTATGCAAGTGAGAGGGATCACAGATTAAGAGTAACACACCTGTGGCATATAATGCATATGAACAATAACTGTTGTAAACCCACAACAACAGTGTTATTTCCGATTACTAGTGCGTGACACAGCTGATCTTTTACAATTTCTAATACTTATAACACAATTTTTACACATTCTAAAAGGTATTTGAAAAGATGATTGTAACCATTTTACATCATTGCATGGAAGACAGTTATTTGTTGGCAGAGTTGGGTGTAACGCGTTACTGTAATAATATTACTTTTGTCGGTAACGGAGTAGTGTAACGTGTGTTACTTTTATAAAATCAGTCATAATCACACTGACAGACAAAAGGGGTTTCTTCTGCAGGTTTATATGTACGTAATCTGCGCGACTTGCGCGTCCACATCTCCACTTGCAGTGCTGCATAAACATGGCTGAGTCAGCGATAACTTTCGAGGGGTGGAGGTATGCCCATTATTTTGAGTTTGTCCGAAGAATAGACAGGAATGTGACGGTGAGGTGCAAACTGTCCAGGCCAGAAGCTGTTATCCACTGCTGTAAACACCACGTCAAACCTCAACAAACACCTGCAAAGAACACATGCTAAGGTGACGCTAATAGCGAAGGACCCCCAAACCCAGAGTGAGGATGTTGTGAGTGCACCGCCGCCAACTCCGAAGCAGCAACAATTTGAATTTGGAGGACCGGTAACCAAAGCAGAGATGGACAGGCTTGTAGCATCCTTCATAGTAGAGGAAATGTTGCCCACTTGCACAGTGGAATCACCATCGTTCAGAGATATACTGCGCAAAATACAGATAGCAGGAGACAGAGGACAGTCATGGTCAGATAGGAAAACATTCAGGAGCTATCTGGATCAGTCTTATGCGACAATGGAAACTGAACTAAAGAGAACATTTGAAACTTTAGCAGTCTGCGTGATCTGCCTGTAGGGAGCGGCGGGCCGGCCCTGCGAGTAAAGTAACGAGTTACTTTATGTAGAGAGTAACGAAGTAGTGTAATATATTACTTTTTTTTTAGTAACGACCCCATCTCTGTTTGTTGGTCACATGCCTAACTGACATCTAACATGTTGTAGATCAGGGGTGCCCAACCAGTCGAGATTCCCAGTCGATCGCGAGATGTGTCTAAAAATAGAACAACAATATTCAATATTATGTCCTAACATAATCTTCCCGTGCCAGAATAATGCACTTGAACGCATCAAAGCTTTGTGATTGGCCGGCTAGACCCCATATGTCGGGGCGTGGCTGGTCCGCAGTGGGCACTATTTCGCTGACGTTGTCCGTGTCAACAACAGGAGTGAAGGTCCGCACACACACATGACCGCAATGATGGCAGAAGCAAAAAAGCCCAAAATATATAATTTTCACTCCGAGTGGGAGGATGATTATTTTTGTATCTATTCCAATTCAAAGTCCATCTGTCTCATCTGCAATGCGAGCGTGGCTTTATCGAAGAAGGGTAATTTAGGAGCGGCATTTCAAAACAGTGCACAAACGCTACGAGACGGAATTCCCTCCTAATTCTGCCCTACGCTCCCAAAAGGAGAGGGACCTGAAAGGACAGCTAAATGCATAGCAGGCCATTTCCACCAGGCCCAACAACAAGAGCAAGGCTGCTACCATAGCATCTTATCGTGTCAGTCACGTTCTTGCGAAACACATGAAGTCTTTCAAAGACGGCGAAGTTGTGAAAGAAGCATTCCTGGAGGCTGCCGACGCGCTTTTGGGGGACAGTAAAGCATTTCAACAGGTTTTTGATATAATAAAAACTGAAGTTGGATACCGTTATTAATCAGCTGTAAGTTGTAGTTTGTTTGAACTTATTCATTATAATTATTGTACAAAATGGTATAAGAATGCAAACTTAAATTGATTATAGTCTATCATCAATTCAGGTTAAGAAACTAGTGTTGCTGGCATCCTATTTTAAAGGCATTTCTTTTTATATTCTACTAAAATGCAACAAAAAAAAGGTTTTATTCTATTAATTTTGTCTTTTTTATTGCACGTTGGCAGCAGATTCCTGTGTAGCTTCAGATCTGAGTTGTCTTATTAGTAAGCCTAATTTTAATGGCAAAGAAAGGGTTCAGAGTCTTTTCTTTTTCCCTGTGTCATATGTGGCAGCACTGTTCAATGTTTCTTGAAAACATTACCCACTGTAGTATGTGACGTGTGAATAAACTCCAACTCTGTATCAACAACACTGTTGTGTAACTTCAGTTAAATACTATCTGTATGTGTGTAGATTAGAAAGAGGTAAGATAAAGGATCTGCAGTATTTTATGAAGTATTAATCGTACAAAGGCCAGTTTTATACAAGTAGAAGTGTGTATTTACCTGGTAGTAGGCTGTCAGTAATGGCTACGCCTCTCTATTTGGACTGGTAGATCTCGGCAGACTGGCAACTTTAAAAGTAGCTCTCGGTTCAAAAAAGGTTGGGCACCCCTGTTGTAGATACTGATAAATTCAGGCTAGCCAAAACAACTGAACAGGGTCTCTCCAGATCATTTCTGTGATATATTTAATGGGGCTATTTTTCCCCTGGAATAGCAGCATGGCACATAGTGGAGGTCTACCTTCAGGGTTCGTACGGGTGCTGGAAATCCTTGAAAATGCTTGAAATTGTACGAGGTGTTTTCAAGGTTTGAAAAGTGCTTGAATTTGGGGAATGGTACTTGAATTTGGGATAAAGTGCTTGAAATTGTAAATGCTTTACTTCGCTTTTTAGATTAAAATAAAATAAAGAAGTCGGGGCGCGCTTAATTGCTTCGCTTTTTACATAAAACAGCTCTGCTCCGGCCTTCCCGCGCTATGCGCGTGCCCTGCAAGTGTTTTTGTTACGTGTGACCTGGGCATTCTGATGAGAGTGATAGAGGACAGTATGCCAGGAGGTTGCAGTTTCAACGAGCGTTGGCTAGCAGAAGACAAATACAAGCCATGGCTAAGACGAGGGTCAAGCCCATGAGTAGCCTCCTGCAAAGTTTGCAAAAAATAACGATGGCAGAGTCTGCGCTGACGAGCCACAACAAAGGTACGCCGTAGTAGAGCATTTTAGATTAGGCTAACGTTGCATGTTACGTTTGTTTAAACTAACGTTAGCAAGCTGAATAGCGAACTCGATGAGGGATAATAATAATTGCTGGGGACAATCATTTCAGAGGAGCGTACCTATGTTAATATGTGCGTTACAGTCGCCATCCTGTGGTGTTCAGAGGATGAAGCACTCACTGTTGTAATTCAACCCAGTCTCACGGCATTTCGTGTTATAGTCACGAAATATAATCTATTGATTCGACACAGAGCGATTTTAAAAGCAATGTATTTCTACTGGTAGTATGTTTCGTGCCTAAACCAAATGTGACTTTCTCTATCGAAATCAGTCACATTGACCCGAAGACACATTTTCGTTTATATTACTGGTCTGGGGGAAGCTCGCGAGTGTGTTTGTGTATTTTTGTGTTTGTGTGTTTGTGTACCGGGGAAACACTCACAAGAAACACCGGCTGTTGTTATGCTTGCCGTGACGTTAAATTACTCCGTTCTCCACTTGTAATTATGCCTTTACAAGCTTCAAAGTTGTATTTATCATCTGAATTTGCCAAAACAAGTTTAAAGGAGACATGTCATGCTTTTCCGGTTATTACCCGTCCCCTTGTGTGTTATGAAAGTTTTTATGCATGTAAACGGTCTGCAGAGTAAAAACCCCTCAAAGTACACCCCGTAGCGAGTAAAACTCTTAACACAGAAAATACCTCCCCAAAATGCCTCATTGGAGATTTCTCATTTTTCGTTGTTTACTTCCTGGGTATCGCTCAAGCCCCCAGGAAGTGCGCCGGACTCGGATGAAAATATTCGTGGTGGTGTTATGTGTACGCAAATTGACGTGCTTGATGTGAACGAGCCTTTTGGGGGGCGTGGTTAAAGTTGCGCATGCTCTATGAGCGCACATACGGTTACTTCTCAGGCATGCTGGGTAATCTGTGACGTTTCACTCTCTCAAAAGTTGGGCCATTTTGTCATCCATGTGCCAATGAGCAACTCTCATAGGAATGAATGAGGCCCCGCCTTCCACGCTGTATGCAGTTCTTATTATCCATCCATGGTATCGCTACGTAGGGATACCCAGTAGCCACGCCCAGAGCTATGACCAGGCTGATTGGTCCAAATTAACCAATACACACACACACACACACACACTCTGTCTCTCTCTCTGTCTCTCTCTCTGTCTCTCTCTCTCTCTCTCTCTCTCTCTCTCTCTATCTCTCTCTCTCCTCTCTCTCTCTCTCTCTCCTCTCTATCTCTCTATCTCTCTCTCTCTCTCTCTCTCTCTCTCTCTCTCTCTCTCTCTCTCTCTCTCTCTCTCTCTCTCTCTCTCTCTCTCACACACACACACAATACAGGCACCTCTGCTGATTTCTCCTCCCTGGCTTCAGGCTGATAACAGACAGTTGGGATCGCGGCGAAATTCTCTCTGCAGACCCATTCTCACAACGTTTATCAACCTATAAACCTTTTTCTTACTCAATATCAAGCCACACTTATTGTTTTTAATTCGGCTGTGAGTTTGTGTGTGCTCAGGATGAGTTTGGCTGTGTATCGCTAAACAAGGAAACAACACCTCCACGGAGCTCAACGCGATTCACAACGTCCCGACCAATCAGAGCACACTGTGCTCACAGGGAGGGTGAGGGCTGGAGCTATTGGAGCTACAACGAGCCGTTAAAGGCAGAGAGTGAAATTCAGTGAATACACGTAGTTTACAGAGATGCTGTTTGAGAAACCAATGTGAGTTTGGAAAATTGCACAATATAAATATATTCTAGTAGACCTCAATAATGGAATTATGATCAGTGGAAATGGTCATGACATGTCTCCTTTAAGCCCCAAGGTCCCCGCCGGCGGGTACTTTTTTTTTTTTCACGACACTGTGTCTCAGGGGATCTTAATATTTAAGAACCTATTAATGTGTTATACCAGATTAACGGGAATAATCTCAGCTAACTGACGATACAAACCATGTTTACCAAAACAAGACACAAGTCTCATAAGAAGCATCTAAATGACCCCTGAGCGAAAAATGCTAACGCACTTTGGCACAGAACTCAAGATAAAAGATACCCTTATTACTTATCGTAGCTGCACATACAAGATATCCGATTAAAGCTGAGGTTCCACAGATTATTTAGGTATATATATCATCATTGAGTGATCCGAACTCTTGACAGGGGAAGCAAACACAGGCATCACAACACGTACTTTTACGGAGCTTTTACAGATTTCAATCAGCAAAATCGACCTAGGGGGCCAGAGATATGGAAAATCCACCCAAATGACCCCAGAAGTGGGTTTTTTTTGCTAAATCTCTCTAAAAAGGTCAAATGTCACTTGTTTTGCATCAATTTTGATACAGGGTACTTATTATATGTTGTAGTTTGGATTCCTAAAGCTTTTAGTCTACCATCCCATCATTCAAGGGTGGTTTTCACTATAAGACTTTTTTTTTTATTGGACGGACACAATGATTTACATTTTTTTACTGTGTTCAATCTGAATTTACTTTAAAAATAAATCATATCTATATTGATTCTGACACATCTACATCCAACTCACAGGTGTAACCTTGCTTTGAGAAAAAATATTATTAATTTAACCCTTTTAGAAGGGAAGATATGGTCATTTGTTCTGGGAATGTCATTTTCGAGCCTGAGACCTGAAAAACAGGCTCGGGGCTTAACAAGTTTCTGAAAGCCAATACTTTGTTTATTTGAAAACAGATGAAAACAAACTGTCCCGGACCCTTTCGTGTTATCTATGATTACTATACGCCTTTACTTCATAATTTCAGCGGAGGGAGGGGGAACGGCGCTGCGGAAGAGCAGGGTGCAAGTTGGGAGGTGCCTCTTCTTCCCTTTACAAGCTTCAAAAATGTATCTATCGTGAGATGTTGGCAATAACAGTTTAATATTCTGAAAGCCAAGACTTTGTTTATTTAAAATCAAACAAAACACCCGAACCCTGAAAAACTAGTTTTTTTTACACAAATCCACGTTTATCTTTTAAATGAGCCGTTGCCATTTTTGACTGATTTCGATAGAACGGGTCACAAATAATAACAAATTAGAAGGAAACAAATATATACAGATTTCAGTATTCTGAGGCTCTGAGCCCCATTTATTTTCCTCACAGACGGCAAAAAAAAGCCCGTCATTATACGATTTAAAAATAAAAACAATAATCGTGGCTTGATATTGAGTAAGAACATGTTTTTATGAACCACACAGCTTCCGGTCTTCCAAGACCCGACCGGAAAAAAAGACGCAGGCACGAAACACACTACCAATAGAAATACATTGTTTTTAAAATCGTTGTGTGACACGAAAAAAAGGGGAAACCGTGTTGGTGAATACGAATCAATAGATTACATTTATTTCGTGACTATAACACGAAATGCCGTGAGACTTGGTTGCGTAATTAGACCTTAGCTTGTTAGTATGTTGTAAATGATAAACTGAGGATTTGACCGCGTTGCTATGGTTGATACTTTTAGAAACAGGCTTTTATATAAAATCTTGAAGTATTATACAAGTAAAACTACATTTTGCTTTAATCCCATGTAATTGTAGAATGAACACAGTCTTCCTTTGAAGATGTATAAGTCAGGTGTCTTGAGTAGTCAAAATTACCTACAAATCATTGTACACATTTGTAAATATTATTTTCCACTTGTTACCATTGTGAGTCTATTTTTATGCAGCTCTGCGTGATTTTGTGGCTACAATTCAGGCTAATAAGCTACCAGAGGTGGAATAAGTACTCAGATATTGTACTTGAGTAAAAGTAGAAGTACTCAGATCTTGTACTTGAGTAAAAGTAGAAGTACTCAGATCTTGTACTTGAGTAAAAGTAGCCTTGTCATTTAGTTATTGAAAGACATGCATCTTGTCAGCATAGTTATCATGTTAAACAGTAGGAGGAGAGATGTGGTTGTGCATTTGTAATGCAACCTTCAGGGATACAGCGACTGGTCAACTGCTCAGGTCAAAACCCAGCAGGGTGCCTACATCGAAAGGGCAACAATAACTCCTGAAGAACAAGCTCAATCTGATTATAATCACATCATAAGTGCAGTGATGCCACATGTATGTCTCAAGAGGCAAGGACACGCTGTAAAAGAAGGTCCAGGTATTAAATCAGACATTTCCCCCTTTCCTCCAAATGCTAAGAAACAGAAATGTTAGTTTACTCGGATAGACAAGTTCAGGTGTAGGTGAATCAAGTATTTAGTAACACTTGGAAGAGGATTAGCAGCTTACATTGATTTCCTGTCCTCAATGCTGCACCCTGGCATGTCTGGACAAAACGAGAGTGGACAGAGAAAGACTTGCCGGTGATTGTATGCTGTCTATTTTAGCAAAGGGCACAGCAGCTTACCTTCAATTCCTATGAATTCAACTGACAAAGAACCAGATGATCTTCAAACATAAAAACAAAAAGGACATTTGTGAAGTTATTGTGAAGCGTAACTCAGCATCTTTGAGCTGGACATAACCTAAAAGTTGTGAAAAATTAGATGGTTTAGTTTGGTCAAAACCAACACATTTCTGAAGTCAGAATTTAATGTAGGACTGAATGCCCTGAAACCTTTCTGCAAAGTCATTTAAACACATACACACACAGAAATGTCTTGAGGCATACGGTGTCTGATCAAATATCTACAGCTGTGCTCTAAATGTGTCTGTGTGTCCTGCAGGTGGACGTGGTTTGTGGAGATCACCTCCTCGATCACTTCCAGTCCCTCAAGGACATTCAGAGCTTTGTGGGTGAAGAGGCACTGCAGGTGAGCCCCACAAACACACACAAGAGGAAGACATTTTAAGACGTTATATTATGAAGAACTCCAGGAATACCTTTAAGTGATTATTTCTGTGGTTCCATTTTGCTACAGGACGGTCTGTTGGTGCTGCATTTTGGCCTGGTCCTGCCCTCCCAGCCATGAGCACGAGAGGTGGATGTAGTCCATGAACTCATCACTTGGATTTCCTTTATTTATTAACAGTCTGAAATGAAAAGATCTAAACATTTAAAACTGCAACGTTCAATTGTTTTAATAATATTATCACTGGGCATTCAGGACAGCCCTGGTTTCTGTTTCTTGCGGACAGACATTTGATTAACAGAAGTGTCATCATGCAAATTGAATTAAACCCGAGTCCTTGTCTTACTGCCAAGATGTCTTTGAAGGCATCGTTCCAGGTGCTTCCTTCCACAGCACAACGTTGTGCCTGCTGCTGTCGCTAAAACGTGTGTGTGTGCGTTTTGATTACTTATGTTTTTTGGAAACCAGGAACTATATCTTATTTTCTTTATTTATCATCTCAAGGTCTGAGCGGAGTTTCATATTGATTGTTGTGATTTAAGGGCTTGAAACAAAAGGACCTCAACTACCAAAGGTTTTTGTGTGGAGCTTTATATACTGTTTATTTTATTTACAGCTTGCTTTGTGTTGATTGACATATTTAATTCAATGGCATTTGTATATTCTGCTGATGGGGTTTGTTCAAAAATCATTTCCTACTCAGTTGTCAGAATGAATTAATAAATGACTGCTCAACTGAGGTATGTTTCTCGATTCATCCACGTTTCCTGGTTTGAGCTTAATTTCCTCCTAAGGTGTAAATGCTCTTCTCCCACCAGTGTCTGTGGTTGTTTAATATCTTGCTACACTAAATGAATTCCCCATTTCAAAAGCCAACTATTTCTGATCTTCTATCCTTTAGTAGAGGTGTATGGTGATCTGCTCAGACCCCGGCCACACGAGGACGAAAACGGCTAAACGCATAGGATTAACGCAAACGCAATCACAAACAAGCTTCCGTCCACACGCAATAGTTATCCGGATAGTGTCTGCCCACACGAGACCGCTCCGTTTAGCTCCAACCGCTGGAGAAGCTGCAGTACATATATATACATATTCAGGAGCCTGTACGTGGCGCTGTAACTTCCTCCACAAAAGCAGCGAAGAAGCATGGTTGTCATGGTTGCCCTTCTGTTTATTCTCCGCGGTGGGGGCCGAGGGAACCGGGCAGAGTTTTTCGCCAGTCAACGTGTATTAAAGTTGAAATCTTCCGACAAAATTATAAAAGTGCCGGTCAAAGGTCTTCTTTGTTATTTATTGAGCTTTAAAACAAATGAATAATGACTCTATATAATATAATAATATAAATACACGGAGCCTCTCTTTTTCCTCCCTCTCTTCGGACAGCGCCAGTGTCTGTTTCATGCAGCAGCTGATCCAGTAATGAGTGACCCGGCTGACAGTAAAAATAAACATATTTTATAACTAGTTTAGGTAGTTTGAGAGGTGTCTCCGTCCTGTCATATTAGACTTCACTCGCGTTTATGTCCATATCGAGAGAAAGATAAATAATCTGAATTCAGTGTGCAGTTTACTTTGACGCGGGGGTGAGCAGCAGAGGTGGGGAGAGGCGGGGCTATTGCGCAATCATTATCAGAAAATGATCGCTGAAGCTGCAGTACATGTTACAGATATGGGCATCTGTTAATGCCTGCTATATAGTGACGCCTGTTGGCGCTTTAGTAAACTGCACGCTGACACAGGCTTACACTGTGATGTACTATATCCGCAAGCGCGGGAATATACATGTGATGGAGTTGTGAGTTACGGAATAAAGCTGCAGACTGAAACAGTACATATCTACAAAAGCAGCGAGTAAGATCCCCCCCGGATGTGTAAGTCTGCTGTAGATGTTGCACAAAGAACTGTAGCATGGTCAGTAGCGTCCGGAGCACGATAGCAACTCTGCGATCCGCCATTGTTGTTGGTGGCGAAACACATCAGCAATGGCGCGGGGTACGCGGAGGTGAGCAGCAGAGGTGGGGAGAGGCGGGGCTATTGCGCAATCATTATCAGAAAATGATCGTATAGGGCGCACACACAGAGCTGTTTGACCCCCCAGAGCGTTGCGTATGCCGTTCTATCCACCTTGGGACCCGTTATCGTTTCCTCAGTCGTTTAGTGCCGTATGCGGTCGTCGTCGTGTGGCCGAATGGTCTATATGACACTAAACAGTAACGCAAACGGCCGTTTTCGTCCTCGTGTGGCCGGGGCATCAAAGTGCTGCAAGTCCTAGGAATTTGATACAGAAGTCATAGAAACTTGAAAAGTATGCAATCATTAAAGTATAGCTGCAAATCATTTGACTTGACATTGAGGAACGGTAAGATAATTGCCAACAATTTATATCAATTATAAATAGTTAAATGTTTTCCATGCAGAAATGTCAGAACCTGTTTTTTCTCTGAAATAATGAGGTTTTCTGCTTAATTGTTTTATATATATATCATTCAAGTGAACCATAACTGACAAAACAAAACCATACAATAAATCCAGAAAAGATTGGCGGTTAAAAACCATTATGTAAATAATTGTATTTACTTGTTATAGCTCTGGTGTCGAAATCTACCTGGAGATGACTTTGAATGTATTCGGGATTACGCTGATTTGCACATGAAAACAAAGACGTGATTTGACAGTCATGTTATTTTATTGAATGCTACTGAAACAACAGTGAGTGGTTTTCCAGTGGGTGGGTAAATCCAAACTATAGATTAAAGGTAGGGTAGGTAAGAATGGAGAAACCAGCTCGAGTGAGCTAGAATTTTGAAAGTACACTACACAACCGAAATAAATCTGCCCCTTCCTTCAGACTTCCTTACAGAGCCCCTCCTCCAACACACAGGAACGCGCACATGACCAATGAGAGCACGAGATAAGTTTGTGCCTTTATATACAGTATATGGTTTGTGCACGAGATGGAAGGCTGACAGGCAGGTATGCCATCCAATCATCTGACCCGGGCCGGCTCACATGATTGGTCGTGCTTTTTACAGCGCTACGGCTTCCACAGATGACATTTTTGTATGTATTTATTGTCAAAGCATTTAATGTATTCATTGCTATCGGGATGTTAAGAGCATTCCATGGAATATAACAAAAAGTGTTTCTGAAGTGAATGACCTACCCTACCTTTAACTGAACCAACATACTGAATATATTTCACAGATATTTCATTCTGCACATGGTTACTACGGGAACTCCTCATTTTATAGCAAAAGTCAGCAAAATACCTCCTTTGCCACAGAGACTACCAGGAATGTATTATCACCCAAAAAGTTTAAGCTATGATTTCAAACATTTATCTTAGGGTTGGGTTGGCTTGGGGGGGGGGGGGGGGTAGGTAAAACCTGTGTATGTGTAAACGATAGTGATGGCAAAATGAAGCTTTGAATGAAGCATCGAACCACTTGGACAATTGTGTCGGAAATAGGTTCATTTCTCGAAGCTTCAGTTACAGCGACCTCTCCTGGCGAAGTGCAAGGCTGCAGTGGGTTTAACGTATCTTTGCCTTGAAGAATATTCGATGCAAACACACACACTAAGACTGAATATCATGTTCTATTTGCAATTAAAGATTGATAATTGTGTGTATTGGGTTATTGAGAAGAGACTAGAGAGTGCTGGAAAATTTTTTGGGAGGAGAGGGCCTTTTATCAGTTATTAAAGTTGAAAAGCAATGATTAAAATACATCCATTCCGGGCTTTGAACCAGCTGCGCGGAGGACATCGCCGCATTCGGGCCGCCGGCTCTATCCACTGAGCTATCTATTCCTTAAAATATTGAACTGTTTTTATATTACTGATAACTGTCTTTTTGTTCACAACTTCTCCATATTTCGAAGTGTTTCCCGAGCCAGAACGACCTATCTTTCTTCCTGGCTTGCTCTATAATGATTGATACTACAATTCAAATGCAATACCAACAACAACTCAACAGCAACAACGCAAACTACGACAACAACCCACACATTGCGCATTGTTTAGAGCGGTCATAAAGTGTTGAAGCGCTCACATTTGAAACTGTTTCAACCTGTCACCTGTCAGAATCGAGACGAGGCAGTGCATTGAATCGCGTGAATGGACCGCGAACCAGTCAAGTGATTCATTCAGGAAATTAAGCAGTTGCTGCTTCGGACGTCACATGTCACGTGATTTGAAGCAGTTGCTGCTTCGGACGTCATATGTCACGTGATTTGAAACAAGCTTCGAAGCACTAGGCTGGTTTGAGACGCGTTGCGGCTCGCCTCGAAAGTAGACGAGAGTTGCCGATCGCAGCCGGGGGAGGTCTCAAAAAGCTCGCCTGAAATCGGACAGCTACGAGTCGGCTTCTTCATCTTCTTCTTTGCCTTCTTCTTCTTATTATTCTCTCGGTTATTTGGCGGATTGCAAACAACTTTAAGGTGCATACCGCCACCTCCGGAGTCGGCTTGACTCGGTTTGCATTTATAAAGAATGCACACGTGTTTAATCGTTAATGTCAGATATGTACTAAGTAAATACATTTGTTCCTGCTCAAGATTAGATTCAACTTTATTGTTATTGCACATATTACAGGTACTGAGACAACGAAATGCAGTTTAGCTTCTAACCAGGTGCAACAAGCAGTAAAGTGAAAAGTAATGTACACAATAGACAGAATAAAATATAGAATGAATTGAATGATGAATAAACAGTGAGGGGTATGAATACACTAGATATTAGCCTGTGAGCAGTATGAACAGTGTGTATGAATATGCGAAGATATATAAAGTATGAAAACGGTAAGCAGTGCAAGTATAGTATAACATATATGGATATTAATGTAATGATGATAAACATTGTGGAACAATGATGAAAAATGGGAATGGACGTGGCGACGTAAAACTGACACAAAACAACAACAAACTTTTGCCGAGGCAATTGGAGAGTTTCATCACCAGCACGTGGTAAAAACCACCAATGAGCGCTCAGCTCGAGATACCAGCGAGTCGTTTCCCATCAAGCATTTCGCTTCCGCAGCCCGTGGAGAGGAACTGCGCCGCCTCGCCGCGCCTCGCTCTCAAGGCTGCGGGCGTCTTTGTCCCGCGAGATTTCAACGTCTCATGTAGGCGAGCCTCCAGAGCAAGTCGGACAAAATGACTAACCATCATGCAACGCACTAGCAAGACGTTGATCGCAACTGCGCAGGTCTGCGCAGGTCTCATTTGTCTCAAACAAGCCTACTGCTTCTATGGAATGGGCTAGTTGTACAAGATGGCGTCTATCAACTTCCGGCGGCTAGGTGTGCGGTTGTAAACTTCCGGTCTACAGTAGAGCGGTAGAGGGAAGAGCGATATATAGCGTATAGATAGCGAGAGAGATAGCGTATAGATATTATATAGGCACTATTTTACACTCGATGTCTCCAAGACCTACCGAAGGTTAACATCAGTGATGTACATCGGCTGGTACAAGCGGCAGGCTCAGCCCCGAGGAGCAAAAGAGAATAGGGGTTCAAGATGTAGCTACATATCCAGCTACGTCGACAATTATGAAGGTAAGTGACAAACAAAGCTGTAGTTACTGGCTAACTTTGACAAATTGACAGTCTTGATACAGTTTAAAGCGTTTTAATGATGTACTATTACGTTTTTTTTGGATAACATGAATGATATCCAATTCCCCACAGTTTCAAACAAAGATCTACCTTCAGGGAGAGTGAGCATCAGGGCTAGCTGTTACAGGTCCATGAAAAAG